AAACGCCTGTAGAAACGCAGGGATCTTATCAATCGAGATAATTTTCTTGCTGAAGTATTCAGGGAAACTAGTAGATTTCATTAAAGGAAAAAAAAAAAAAAAATGGGGTTAGTGATACTTTAAACGAAAGAAGAAATTAATATTCTGGCATAATGCAAGCGTAGTTTTCCATTCATTTCGTTGTCGAATAAACTTTAAAGAAGGCCGTAAAGTTGATATACACAAAGTGCTTAATAAAAAACTGATCATTCCTCTTTACCTTGATTTCCTTGCGAATTGATTTCTGCTCTTAGCCTTCGCGCAGACATCTTCTATTTCCTTTGTGACGCGCAGGCTAGTTTGCTCTCCTTTTTTCTTAACACCGCGGATGTGAGGTTACATGTATTTTTCCTTTATTTGTTCTAGTTGCCTCGACATGCAAGGAAATGTATGACAGGAACATGTAAGTGGAAGATCACAAGTTATTTGCTGGATGCAATAGAATTCATTTTAATCAGGAGCTTTTCATGGGATCTTGTTTAAATATGATCCTGATGAAAAAATATATTCCACTATCAAAAATACTACAGGCGTTTTGGCTACATTTGGGTGGTTAATATTTTTCACTAATAAGAACATCAGTTAAGATAATTGATTGGTATATATCATTTTAAGTGACTACTTATACATCAATCATGTTCACGATGGCTCGAAAACTAAAGAGCCTCGAGTGATTGAATGCAGATAATGATTCACAAGGCTAAGTATCATTTCTTCACGCAAGAAAAAACTAAGTCTGTAAGAGAATTTATGATCCTCCAAAGAGACGCCCTTGCTTTAAAAGCAATCCTTTTAATGCATGCTGTTTTTACAGATAATACACATTTCTTCTTCGGATAATGTTATCACGTCGTTGCATGGATGATGTTGCGTAGAATAAAATGCGTGTTAAATCAGTTGGGCTGTCTACGAAAGCAAAATGCTCGTCAAAATAAATGCAAGGACGTATGAGCATGACTTAGTCCAGTTGTAGCGGAGGCGCTACTGACGGAGACTCCATTCCTTTGTATAAAAACCTTTGCCCTAGCCTTATTCATATTTAATTGGTGATTATTATTTTCTTTGGATTTTTTTTTGCGTTCAGATATTCCTTTAATACTTTCGTAGCTACTTCGACAATTTGTGGATTTTTTTCAAACTTAACACAAAAAATGCTTACTGTACCACCGTGCTCTATAGGACCAAAATAATCACTGTAGCAATGTCACCACGCCTTATATGATATAATGAGAATGTCTACAGCTAAAAGATTGGAGGTTGAGACTTGAATACGTACTTACTGACACAATTAAGGTATGAAGGAATTATCACCCTCGAAACTCCTTGGTCTAATTAGATGCTTCTTCACATTCAACAGTTTGAACAGTAGTCAGCTAGTTACGCTCAAAGTTGATTCTAAACTTATTCCCGTTTACTGTCACTTGAAAATTGTTGGATGTGGAGATGGAGGATGGACCCCAGTCATGAAGATCAACGGCAGCCTGGTACGACTCTAATTAAGTCAATTTTATGTCATACACAGAGGAAAGTTGTATTCAGAATTATAATTTGATTGCTTTAAATAACTGTGCGCCAGTTTCATCAAACGTATTTAGAGTAAAACTAATAAACTAAGCCAGACGAAGGCGAGATATACATACATGATTTAATGGAACTTTTAAAAGGCTAAAAAATGTGATCCCCCAAGACCTTGAAGGGGTATTATCATGTCGAGGGTGTATAACACGGCTTGTTCATCAGGAATGTTAGCCTAATATCAGAAGTATCTGACATCTTGTCCCATCATATTGTATCCCGCCGTACGAGACCACATGCTGTTTGGCTATAGATGTTTAAGTGCTTAACTTCATAAGAACACAATGGTGTTGGAGGGATATAACGTTGAAAACAGCTATTCAGGATTTTCGTCTTCACTTTTACACAACTCTCCAATTACGTTCAGGCAGAACGGAAAACTATTTTGGATTATGGCGACGTTCTCCATCTGCTCGCCACTTTTCTTTAGTCGAAGTAAGTCTTCTGTGAGGAATTAATCGAATAGTGACTAGAGAGAGATAGAAATACACCTCGGCGAGCGAATAAAAAATAGCAGAAAGCATTTTCACATTCTATCTGTTTATTGTATTGCTACCGATATTTCTTTCTTGCTAAGATAAGAGCGAGGGGAAAGTAAACANAAAAAAAAAAAAAACATAAAGGAATGAAAATTGTTATTTAAAAACTTCCGACCTTACTAATGTTTAAAAAACATCATACGTACTGAAGGAAAACATCCAAAGATTATCATACATCAAGTTTAAGCTTACAGAAACAAGAATTTTTATTGAATAATATATGTCTTTGTAGCCAAATGTCTACTGAAATTAGCAGAGAAACAAACTAAATAAATTACTTGAAGGTTAGAAAAACCAGACGGTCTGTACAGTTTTGTCAATTTTTATTGTTCGCGTTGTTGATTGACAAAGCTTTGTATCAGGCAAAGCCCAAAGCCAGTTGGATGAGCACATACCGAAGCCTGGAAACGGAACAGCTCAAAACACACTTAAACGCTAACAGAATACCACTTGTTACACTTCTCACTGATCGCTTAAGACTTACTTACTACTATATAGATCGAATGATTGACCCGTGAAGAGTTTGTGTGCACAATGTTAAAGCTTAGTGCGCCGCTCCTCTTCTAAATTCGAATTTCTCTAACAATTACTTTACATGATGTGCTACGGGTTTGTGGAAAAATCAATCTGATATTTAAATATGAAAACGTACAGTCGCGAATAGCATGGTTGGAGAACCAATAACAGAGATGTAACAGAAATATAGATTTCCGCTGATAAATATGATTGGGTGCAGAATAATTCTATTTTTATTTTGTTTTGATCAGAACACCTTTCATTATGATTCTAAATACTGGAGGAATACGAATGAATACAATCTTCCTGGAGGGGAGACTGGATTTGACTCAGAGGAGACCAAGTTACCGACCTACTGGAACACATCCTTCTCCAAGATCTGTGTTGGTATGAAGATCGACCAACAGACTAATTTCATTGTCATCAACAAGCAGGCCAACTCTCTGTACTCATTGATCGCTGACGACCAATACCGCAAAACCTCAATGAATCGTTACACGTGGAAGACGTTGATTGGCTCACAAGCCTCCTTGCAGGGCACATGTAACAAGCAAGGTTTCAATGCTGTGGGTACTGATAGTTCATATTCTAAAGCAAGAATCGGCATTCTTGGAGACGGGAAAAACGACTGCGGATCTTGCGACTCCAGAATTGGCTTTGGTACAGGAGGGAAACATGATGACTCCAACACTTGCGGAAATGAAGCAACACACTCACCAGATAATGGAGACAAACACATTAAAGCCATGGGTTACATCTTGGTGCGCTAAGAAAGGAAAGCAAGAAACCCTCGATCACACAGCCCTGAATTTACGTCGAATGAATTAATTTAGTTTAGAGCATAAATACGCTTTCACCCTCGTTACAATTGTTGAAGGATATTTAAAACCCAATGATATCGAATTGGTTTTAGCTTTTTTAGCTATTCTCTCGTCTTGTCCCATTTAAAGTGATAAGGCTACGATAACAAAACTTGAAGAAACTATTGCACCTGCTAAGGTCTGCAATAGCTTCTGATGTTCATTATCTTGCTATAAATTGTCTTCGATATGTTAGACACACAGTTGGAAGACTTAAAATGAAATAAGCCTCACCAGCCGTCATCACTTTCACGGGCAAATTGATCCAGGAAAAATATAATCCTCTAAACCACTTCTGTCTTTTCAGTTTCAATGGTAGCTTACTCTTCAATCCAATGTTGACTTGCTTACGTATGCGATTTTTTCCTTTGAAAGAAGGCCTACTGTATTGCCAGTTTTCATGTGACGTCTCATTTTCCAAAATTGGAAATTACTAATTCCACTGAAAGTTTAGTTTTATCAAATGTAAGAATCGTTAATGACTTGACGTGTTACGACATTTAAGCTCGACAGCGTTCTTCATTTTGTAACAGAGCACGTATGAATTTCCAACTTTATGGGTTACATGACATCAAATATGGGGGCCCGGGAAGGCTTTTGCGTAGGTCAAAAGATGAGTCATCGCGTAAGTTTTTGCTAACTGAACAGTTCTTACTCCAGAAGAAGAATGAATTGTAATGTTTTGGAGTTCTGGAGTAATAACGTTTCGTTTAAATAGCAAAACTCAATGACAGATGTAACTGTTACTTAACAGGCGCCATGTTTGTGTCCCTCCGAGGGGCTCCAACACGGCATTTCCATACAAAGCTCCACAAATTTGGGTGAAACACTTCTCCAAATAACGCTTGAATGAAAATCCGCCCAGACCTCAATCTTGGTAAGATGTTTATATAACAATAAATCTATCATATCCCAGATTCTTGAGTTAATTTATTAAATGGTTACGACTTTTATTTTTGATTGCGTGACAGTCCAAACTATTAATCTTCCCATAAGTCGTTTTAATCCAGCGCCATATCGTCTAAGAATAGTACCCAGCTCCCCAAAGTTACTTTGAAGACATGTACAGATGATGAGGTACTGCGTTGAGGGGTCACCGATACCCTGAAATTGAATTTCGGCTCAAAAAAAAGAAAACAGATAAATTAATAGTAATAATAATAATAATAATAATAATAATAATAATAATAATAATAATAATAATAATAACAACACTGTCTCCAAGGTCTTTTCCCAAAAATATTGAAGACAACTCAGAGGAAGCATAATTACTCTGGCGAATTTTCATATTCTCAACACGTGATACAACATAACAAACCTCTGCTCACTAAATTAGTGAGAGAAGTATACAGGTTTTGGTAGTGATTATAACGTCGGTTCCATACTCTACCCAATCTTCTTTCCAAACTCGGAGTCTGCCAATTCGAGCTATGACGCTCGGTTTGAGGGAACAGTTACAGTCAAATTTGTCGGAATTGGAAGTTTGACTTTTTAGTGAAGTCACAACGCGACCAGCTCCCAGTTGGCTTGAGAGCTCAGTTGGTAGAG